TCTCAAGGCAAATTTATTTACCCTTCTCCTCGTTTTGCAACAAAAAATATATTAACTGTTCATATGAATGCCTATGTGAAGAGCATATTGAACGAGCATGCGCCGACAAGTTGGGGGCCCATGAAAAGTTTTTGACTAATATACGATTTTTGGCTGACAAAAAATTTCTAATTTCTGCGACAAAGTGTTAATATTGATTAGCATATTCTGCTCTACCATGACTAGAAAACAAAATTGAAGTTTCAATAAAATTTTGTGCAAAAAGGCTCATGCAACAATCTAATACATATACATTTACTAATAATTTTTAACATTTATTCACTTAGCCTCCTGACTGCACTCATGAGCTGTCAAACCTACACTCTCTGACTTTTCAATGAGAGAATGTAAGTATAATTGCACTATTCCGTTTTAATGCCCTTAATAAGTTATGGCAAACCCCTTAACGAGAAAATGTATAGCATTGTACCCCTGGATACATGTAACATTAGTATAGTTTGAATGTGTCGTAGTCTGAAGTGCACGAATTTTCAAGGTTCATTGGTTTTCGTCAGATTTGTAATCGTATAGTGTAGATTTAGCATATAATGCCCTATTCGCTGCTAGATTGCTCGTAAAAAAACTAAATTTGCAGCTAGAATTTTCTTCTCATGACTTTGCAAAGTTAGAATCATTTCTGATTGCTGTAAGCACAATATCCAAGATGTTTTTCTTCAATATCCAAGCTTATGTCGTTTTTGTCACCTTATTCCCTCATTATCTTTGCATCTCTCCTCCCTCTGCTATGGTTCTCAGGCGCCTACATAATCAGCTGATTCCCAAGTCTGCAAATGATTTGTCGTAAATATTAGTATTGTATTCTCACTTGAAAGATGACTCACTGTCTACACTAATGAGATAGACATCATTTTTATGAGAAAAGGCACACATACCATCTCCGCATGATATGATATTACGATAGGATGTGAGAAAAATTGCTACAAAATGTATGATTGTCGAATTGAGAAAAAGTGAAGTCTATTTTAGGCTTGAAACCCAGAATAGTGCTAGGTTCTACAAATGCTATAGAATAATTTTATCCTGACAATTGACTTTTCTTGCAAATAGGAACGCATAGACAAACGAAGTATTTCTGCAAAATTCTGATATTCTATAACACGTATACATTTGTAGTTTTGAGTTGTAGCTGCAGATTTTCGCATGGCAATATTTATTATGCTTCGCTGATTTCGAAAACATCTGTCGCTTAACCTAGTAAGTAAGCTAGGTTCATGCATATTCATGGTTTTGTCGAGTTAACTAAAAATCCTTTAATACGTTTATTTTTTTGATCAATCTATTTTATGCTGCAGGTGCACCAAATTAGGTTTCTTAAGTGTTTGTCTGTGGTAAGCTATTCTTGGAAAGACTAGAGAACCGCGAATATATAAGTTTCGTTGAACTTTAGTGCAAGCACTTGTACTCAATTCGTATAATTGCATCAGGTGGTTTATCTAGCTTGTTTCCAGTTTATTTAATGACTCCCCATTATGAACTTTTGTTAAGAAATTTTTATCCAAATTTTCTTAGCCCTCTCCTTCGTAGTGTTACTTTTAGAATATATGAACAATAATATATGAATAATATATGAACAATCTTTGAAGTAGTAACTTTCTGTTATTAGTTATTCTGTTCTACTAGGTCGTTCCGAAAATAATGTCGCTTTTTTCAATGAACGCCACATCTCGAGGAACTAATACTTTTGATCTTAGAGGCATTCGATGCATCATTTCATCCTCTTTTCAATGGTTATAATTTCATTGCATAATATTCAATGACCTCTCAAAAAATTGGCAAAGCCCCGTGCTTTTTGAGAAGTTGAGGTTTCACCATTTTTCCAAATTTTCATATCAATCCTACGAGGGAGTCCAAGGTAGCGAATGGATAGAGCAAACCATACAGGAAGCACATTTTTTTTTCACAGCTCGTCATACTTTTTGATGATAGAATTTGATAGAATTTTGTTTGATGGTACCAACTTCCATATTTGGTCAGTTCAAAGTTCGTAGAACTACAACCGGTGATTAATCTGGCTCAAGTTCTATGCAGCTTTATCTCCTCTTTCTAGCGGATGTTTTTTGTTTCTGAGCAAAGTCTTCGAGGGTGAAATCATCATAATTCACTCTTTCGCGCGCCCCAAGCTGTATCAGAAAATTTCGAAATTTGATATTTTAAATAAATCCGCAAATGCTCATTTACTCTGTAAAAATAGTGCTAAATAATATCCTTTTTGAAAGTTTTGAATTCCAAAGTCTTCTTGTTTTTTATGCGTTTATGTCTGACATAGGTTCTCTAGTTTTTGATTGATTCATCAAAAATTTACGGCGAGCTATAAAAAGGAGGAGAAAGTCGCACTGTTCTCTATAAGGTTTGCTCTGTCCATCCATTACTTAGGCTTCTTCCATGGGTTGTTACAAAACTTTAATAAAATTGTGAAACTTGACTACCTCAAGAAAATACGGGTTGCAGAAGATTTGGGTATTTTTTCAAGAGCTTATCGAATACTATGCATTGAGATTAGGAAAGAAGATGAAATGTTGCAGCGAATGCTCCTAACAAGGGAAGGATGCATGGTGACCGTGGCCGTTTAAGAGGAAACGTATACCATTATATGCGTCTTAAAGAGCTGTTTCCAAATCTGCTTACGGTATCTGCTGTGCGCTCTTTCGAAGACCTTTCTCGCCACCAAAATTTGCGCTGTTTAGATGGCAGGATTCACCAATATTGTTAGAATGTCCACATACGCACTACAAGAAAGCGTTCAAATAAAATAAGCATTTACTCCAAGCTCAGGAAAACTGTCTCCGATATGTCAGAGTCTGAAAAGCTTGCACAGTGACGATTTTGACCGCCTTAATTCCGTCAAATTAATTTGGAAAAAAGTCCGTAACTTCGTTCAGAGAGTCGCACAGCAGATAATGAAAATAGATGTGGAATCAGTGTTTTAAGACGCATTTACTGGTTTACACCCCACTGCAAAAGGCCACGGTCGCCAGGTATCCTTTCCTTGTAAGACCTTTCAATCTTGGTTACGCGCCATGTGACGTTCATTTGAAAAAAGCGACACTACTTTCGCAACGACCTAATATTAAGGGTGTAGAATGTTGTAAGAAAGGAATCAAACTCAGTAATAAACATTTTCTTCCATCTTCATAGGCCTCGCATAACGCTCTAATCAGTTTTATTCAGAGAAATCTTTAGAGAAAAAATCCTCCTATAAAAGTGTAAACTAGACAATTTTATAAAACTGCTGCAATGCTCCCTCGCATTCTATAGTACTTCTTATTTCGTCCAACAAAGAGGAAGAACGCTCATATGGTTCCATTTCCACCAGTGAATGCCCTTTCAATTCTTAGCAACGTACGCATGTATTTTGCGGGACATATGAATTTTACCATCTTAATATTTTTCATATAAGTCGCAGTAATGGCAAAGATGTAGAATGCAAGCTATAGGCAATTCATAGCATGCAAAGACTGCGAACGTATCGGCGCCTCTCTAATCGAGCACTCTTTCGTTTCTCTTAACGTCTGCTGTCTCTCTCACGCACGAACTATCTTAGCAGGACGCAACGGCGCCTAGTCTTTGCGTGTCATGAATCGGCATTATGTGCAGAGTACAAGTTTGCAGAAAAGTGACTTTCCGCTGCAGAAATAAAAAGGTCACTCGATGCAAGATAAAATAGCTTCGTTTACCGGCTTCCTATATTTTCCCTATTGACTCTCTTAATTACACTTGAAAAACGGAACAGTGTGAGAACTCGTGCCTGGTTGTGCCCGTCTTTTTCCTTGCACTTATTCTGGTGCTAGGATTCTCAATGAAGAAAAAACTTTGAAATGTCAACGATTATGAAGTTTTTGCGCATTGCACTTCCAAGCTGAAAAGCAGTAATTGCAGAAAAAAAGAACTGCTCCCTAATTAGCGCCATTGGCTTAATAGTATGCCGTAAGATTTTTCTTCGCCTAAGAAGTGATTTTTCTCCTCGCAGAGCGTTACAGCTGTCGTTGTTGCCTATTCAGCGTCCGTACATATCGTTTTCAAAATGATTTGATTTGGAAACGCCGAGGGTGAGTTTGGCTGTGCAATAAGCAAAACTGCGCGAAATAATAAGCTCATTATGTTCATTTTGGGGTCACAAAATGCAAAAAAATTAGTGCTTTTTATGCACTCCAACCGCATAGCTCTGTTGTAAAAAGTAACATGCAGCGCACATGTTCGGGGAAATTAACTGACCTAGATCATGGGCCTATTTGGGCTGACATAGCAGCATGGTACAAATCCGTTACTCATGCTTAGCTGCTTCGAAATCTATCAAACTGCAAGTGTGTCCACAGAAATGACTCCCTGAATATGAACACTTGAAGAGGAATGATAAATTGAAGAAAATTTGAAATTGAATTCCAAATATGAAATCATATTCAATTTTGAGATCCTTGCTTTTTTTAAACACCGCTAATGAAGTAGAGCGCGCGCATTGCGTTCGAAAGATTTCGTAATTTTTGGCTTTCGTCTTTTGTGTGCAATCACAGAAGCATTATTAGTTGAGCGGGTGCGAACGCTGCGCGCGTATTTTCATCGTAGTAAATCTTGCGCCTCATGCGCTATGGGGCTAAAGAAACCGCGTTCGCGCTCAAAGATATTGCGCCTCCGTCATGCAGCAGCCTATACTGCTCAGTAGCGTTTGAAAAATTTCGTTCATGGTGAGGGATGACAGATGTTTTTTCGACTGTAGGGACGTGGCAAATTTTACACAGCTAATTTGTACCTGAAAACTTTGAAGAATATTCAATTGTTTGCAAGTGAAAACAACTCATTTGCACAATTTTATGGGTGGTGTGTAGGTTACATTCAAAAAACTCCGCGAATCTATCGGATTGCCAACTACTACCTTTGTCAAAATCATGATAATGGACCCTTTTGAATGCAAGCATCCCATTTCGATAATTAGCTGATTAGATATCATGTTACTGGTTGAGGCTTGTCTTCTAAGTTTGTTGTGTTTATGACAAATATGAGACTTAATTGAACTCGCTCTTTCGCAATCGAGTTTTGTTTTTTTGTTTGTAACGCAGTTTAATATTTTTAGCATGTGTGTTTTTTTTCAGAGCAGGATCAACGATTACATTCTTCGTTTGCCTTCCTGTTCATAGCAGGAAGGAGAAAAGCACTTGAACTAGGTTCGTTAATTTTATTTTTGTTCTTTATAAAACAAGAGCCTATGGGTTTTTCTGGAATGCGGTGGTTGTGAAAAGCTGGCTGCAGCCCTCTATTTGTTGATAAAGAGATGTATAGTATATAATTGTGTGTGGTCAATACTGCTTAGGGGGAACGGTGCGCTCTGGAAGAAATTCACTTCACTCTTGTTGATTGTAGGACAATTGACCTCATCAGTAAATAAAAAACCATAAAAATGTTGACAACAACTAATAACGTTCAACCCCGATTCACACAATTGTCATTGTCAGCCTCGATAAGGCCTATGTGATCTCATCTCATTTGTTCACTCGCGTACCATTCTGTTCCATAGCTCCGCGAAGTCTGTGCCCTTTCTCAAGTACAAAAATAGTGGCTAGATTGAATGCAGCTCGTTGTTTTCCTTTTCTTTTGCTTTTAGTAGTACAAAGGAATTGATAGCGATTAACGCATAAATTAATGCTTTTGATAAAGCTTTTGATATTTGCTCTTATAAGACTTTCCTGAACGTCAGATAGCTTCTGAATACCATGTGTTGGCATAATCTGCGATAAGCTCGATAAAATCAATTCGGTTCAGCTGCTCAACATTGAGGGCTTCAGCATATCACAAATGAAATTCGCAATTGATCCCTTTTGCTTGCTTCCTTAACAGTTGGTGCCGTGGTTCTAGTGGACATTTGAAAGGCTCTGGGGTCTTCCCTGCGGTGATATCCCATTTGTGCCCCGAAACCCCACCCAAACTAGCTCTAGAAACTCAACAACCACTAAAAACTGAGTTTTTTTTGAAAAGAGAAGCTTACCAGAAATAATACTATCTATTCAAACTAATAAATAATAAACACTTGTTCTGGGGCATAGTGTAACAACGGAGCAATGATATCTAGGCAATTAACAGATAAATGATATAGGATGACTAGGAAGGAATGAGAAGTAACACAAAAAGTTGATTACCTAATAAGAGATGAGAGAAAACAGTTTCCCGCAAATCATGTGCCTCGACTTTTCTGACTTCACCGCGAGCAGACAGTCCCATGCTTCGCCTTATCTGGCGAACCAATAGTTAAGAATGTTCCGCGGAACACCCCGGGATTTTCAGTCTTTTCTGGTAGGGTCCGAGCGAATTAGAGCGCATAATAGACGATTGGCACGTAGACAGTATACTTTGGAATATTCGAAATTTTTTTTTTCGAATAATCGAATAATATTCGAATATATTCGAAAATCAAAAAAAAACCGAATAATCGAATTTCGAATAATTTCAAAAACAAAAAATGTCGAATATCCGAATCTTATATATAAAGCTGAATGTCTGTTTGTATGGCTGTCTGTCTGTCTGTCTGTCTGTCTGTCTTCGGGCCCCGGCGGGTGTCATAGGCTACTTTTCGTATGGATCGATATCGATTTTATCGATTTTTTGCAAAATTTGAGCTACGGGGCTGAGAGTTGGCAGAGGGGGGTGAGTGAGCATGGGGATTCCGAATACGATATTAGGTAGTTTTTGAAATCGTGCATTACTTTTATCGATTTTTTTTTCAAAATTTGAGCTAGGGGGCTGGAATTTGGCAGAGGGGTGTAATCGAGCATGCTGACTACTAACACAGCGGGATAGGGAACTGCATGTAAAAGTGGGCACAGGGAAAGGTTTTACAGGGATAGGAATGGAATCTTTAACATAGTGTTTTGACACTGCCGCGCGGAGCCGGGTAATCCAGCTAGTATATAAAAAGAAATATTCTAGTCATAATTCTTGTTCATGTAAAGCAGGACGATCAGAGTAAGGATTCAAGTCAATTACACCCCTCTGCCAAATTCCAGCCCCCTAGCTCAAATTTTGAAAAAAAATCGATAAAATCGATAAAAGTAATGCACGGTTTCGAAAACTAATATCGTGTTCGTAATCGGCATGCTCGATTACACCCCTCTGCCAACTCCCAGCCCCGTAACTCAAATTTTGCAAAAAATCGATAAAATCGACACCGATCGATAACGAAAAGTGGACTGTGACACCCGCCGGGGCCCGAAGGGTATGTGTGCCAAGTTTGGTCCGGATCGGTTAAGAAATGGAATTTTCTATTCGGAACATACGGCGGAGCCGGGTAAGCCAGCTAGTATCGAATATTTTCGAAATATGGAAATTGTCGAATGATCGATTACTGAATATTTTCAGAATCAAAAAGTTTTGGATAATCGAAAATATTTGTGAAAAAATGGAATAGATGAATACTTTGCGTTGACTATGTTGAATATTTAAACAAATTTTGATCAAGTTATAATGAAAGCAATTTAAACAGCAAAGATATTTGCTGACATTCGAATAACTATTGATAGATATTCGAATGTTCGAATATATGGAATCTTTTTCCATATACATATATTCGAAAATTTCGAATAACAGAAAATATCGAATAAGCGAATATTGAATATACTCGAAATCTTGAAATTTTCGATTAGTCGAATTTCGGAATAAATTTTACTCGAATATTTTATTCGAATACACGAATATTTATTTGATTCGGTCCAAAGTATAGTAGACAGATCGCACTTTCAAGCTTTACCGCAAGTTCAACGTTACATTTCACTTGAGATGAATTTACTGGGGTAAAGTGCGAAGGAGAAAAATCCCGTAAGCTCTCGTGAGTGAGTCAAGAAATACGGACCTGACGTAGCGCTGTTGTGCACATCCATGATTTTTTTTAATGTCCACCTGTCCTCTGTTCTTCTCATAATGTGATCGGCCCTACAAGCTTCGCTTTCGCAACTTAGTCCGCTGGGTCACAAAGACGAGACATTCTTCTAATATCCATACTGCGAAGTTCGAGCGGATGTTGCTCGTGTCGGGTCATCTTTACAAGACTGCGCTCAAGCACTCTGCATGTGATCCGTAGAGCTTTCTACGTGGTTACAGTGTTGGCGGTAGTCTGCTCAGAGTGACGGGAGAACTGTTGTTAGGACAGGTGGGCACGAAACTCCGGCTCCGTTAGTTGGATGGCTTCTTTCAGAGACTCGAAGGCAGCCCAGGCTGCCATTTTTCTATTGCCATGTTCTTTCACTTTATTTTTAAAAAATATGAAAAATCATAGCAAGAGGTAATTCCAGTTCAGCTGGAACCGTTTGAACTAATTTGGAAAAAAAGGTAGGAACGGTTTTTATTCACGTTTCTTTTCCTCAATTTTTGGATCATGATTGAGTCCTCTCAAGCGCATGTGCACACAAATTTTGGTGTTACATCTTTGCAATTTGATTGAAAACAGGGCTTTTGTTTGGTCATGACACAATTTCGAAGCCTCGCGCTGGGCTATTAGCATGCCGCCGGCATGCTGGTGGCACACCGTTGGAGTTCTAATAAACATCGGTATAAAGAGTAGGCGTGCCAAAAGCGTTGGGAGCATGCTTGTGGCATGCTAACAAACAGCGGCGTGCTAAATCGCAAAAACGGTATTCCCTTTGGTTTTCCGCTGATAAACGATGTGCGGCTCGACCTGGTTCCAACGGCGCTGAGCCTTGTCACTTGCTCCCCCTCCCCCTTAAACCACCAGCTCCTCAGCTGAAGGTTTGGAAGCAATCGATAAATCGGTGAAAGAAATCTAATACTGAGCGCATTGTATTCGCAATCAGTATGCTCACTTACCCCTTGTGCCAATTCCCAGCTCCGTACGGTCCATATTAATTACCTGTTCCCTTTTCCGCAAGCGCAAGAGCTTCTCGCCGCGTTCGCGCGCGTATGGCTTGGGCACTCAAATTGGCCTCATCGATTGGTGGCCCGCGCGCGGGCTCTTGCGTCGTACATGCGTAGTTCCCATGCGAAAGGGAGTACGCAATTGACATCGACTGTAGCTTCAAATTCGTTGAAAAATCAACAGATCGATAATGATTGATACCGAAAAAGCCTACTCGCCTCGTCCCCAAGTTTTACTGTGCAAAACATGGTCTAGGTCCAGATCAAAGGGATATCCATTTGGAACTTATTACAGACAGACATACTAACAGACTGATATATATATATGTATATTTTTTGCTACTTGAAGACATTATCTATTCAGTTATCTATAACAAAATCAAGACTCTAGAGGACCGATATTTAGAGCTTTTATTTCGGATTTAGCGTTGAATTAAGATTTCTTTCAGTTTGAATATAGAGTACATCGCTATAGTCTGAGTCAATACATGAATTTATGAATTAAAATATTGTTGTCCTTCTCTTTTCCTCGTCTAATAGGTACATCAACGTATAGCTTTAGTTTTCTCCTTCGAATTATCCCAAAAAATATTTTTTGGTTGTGCGAATGTAAAAATCAAACGAGTCACTACATTACTTTAGGTGATGGTGACAAGAGAAACACACGTAAGTCACATGATGCTTCGGTCACTGTGTGGATGTCGCCCCAATAAAATCGACGATAAAAATGATGTTGCGATTAGAGACTATCGTGATACAGTAAGTGCTTTGAACACACCCAGCAATATTTGTGTGGCTAAAATTCCAGGTTTTCATCTATGCTTCACATAAGGTTCTTGCACGTTCTTTAGTTGGGAGATTATTTCGAACGCTTGAGGATAGGAATCTCAGACCAAGCGGAATGAATATGGTTAAAACCACCAAAGAACTTGTTCAGGTTTTTCAAGCTTTATGGAATGGAATCTTTATTATGAAATACAATTTTTAGAAGTCCCCGCTTTTGAAAAAAGTAGCCAGGGAAGATGGCGAAGTTTGTATGTTCTCGACGTGGCATGGAGAATATGTTTTCAAAAATGCATTAGGCGCTACATCATACTTTTGCAGAAAATACGCCTTTATTCAAGGTGAGTGTTATCGTAACTATCCAGCTTTGGGCATGTTTATCTGAGAAACTTCATTGTATCTTCAATTCACATTATCTTGATAGGTGTAACGAAAGAGGAAGAGGAGGGGAGGCAGGAACGACTGGCATAATAGCATGACCATCCCTCACCCCGGGCCACCCGAGCTTTCTGACCTTCAGGAACGAATTTTGGTACCGCGTAAGGCCCAAGGCATACTTTACGCAATCCCAGTCGCTGCGCGATCTGACACTACAGCGACTCTTCGTAATTGGTCGTTAGCGCGATTTGCATGGGCCAGACTAAGCTTTTGCTATTATTTACTGTGGTTACGCGCCTATGCACTTAGGACCGCACACGATTGATCTGTAAATATCTAGCAAACTGTCAAGTCGCGTGGATGTAGCGATTTGACGAAATTGCGCGAGGTATGCTTGAGCCTAAGACAATCTCTGATCAGGAGCATTACCAATCATTTAACTCAGTCTGAGTCTGGATTCTTTCACCACGGTTGTCCAACATTTCAACTGCCTTTAGAGCATCGTCATTTTGAGCATTGGTGCACAGAGACACTTGTCAAAAGGGTCTGCCACGCAATTAGCTGGCAAACTGTACTGCGCAAGCGTTCCAAAAGATGATTCGTTCTGGTTAAACAGGACGGAATTTTGCCTAGTGCTGGATAATTTTATTCAAGAACCAGGATATTCGGTCAGCTGATCCTCCTGCACATGATCCAGGAAGGCTACAGGCAGTCTCAAAAATTCTGAGCAACTTTGGTGAAAAGATCCAGACTTTCGGATTGAGTAATGATCGGTAATGCTTCTGATCAGAGAATGTCTCTCTTGTAACATCTTCAGGTGGTCAGGAACAAACCACTGAGAGGTCTGGCAATGGGACAGAGCTTGCACCAATACTAGAGGTCTGCTCTATGAGCAGATAGAAGAACCACTGCTGTCACGTTTACCTCTTATCTACTGACCTTATTACATCGACGACTGTTGCGTCATAACATCAACACAATTCGAAATGGATGTTTCCCACTGCTCAGTTGAGAGTCGCAGTACATGAAGTTTATGCGATAATAACCGGAAGATGGTTGGCTTACCTACCTCAACGATCAGACTGTTTAACGGCGCCGCGAATGTAAACGGTATCGTAAGGAATGTTCAAAGAACATCTTGCTAAATGCTCGTTCGGGATATTCAAACGCTGCAAGAGCCGTCCTGTAACATGCTTAATACAGCAGCGAACGTGTGCACAGGGAAAGAAAAACGGAAGGAATCAAGGGCGCTGGAAATTGCTGAGAGGAATGGCTACACGCCCCAGAAAGGACGTGCTAATCCAATGTTTCAACTGATAGCAAACAGGACCAACGGAAAGTTGCTCTTTATCTTCCTTTCGTTTCTGATGCGACTAGAGCTGCAGCGCACATTGTATTAAGCACGCAAAATTGAAAGACAAATTGAAAGACCATGTCCTTATGATTGACACTCCAGCTGACAACATCAGAAAATAGCTAGTACGTAATAGACTTTATGACAACTACTGCAAGATCTAAGGCTGCGTATTTTGTCTATCTGCTAAAGTTGGAGACTGCGGTAAGGCCTGTGTAATTTATGAGATGAACGCATTGAATGCAGCGCCACTTGTGTCGGAGAGAACGTTGGGATAAGGGTAAAGGAAGATCTTGCCAGCAAGAAGAAGGAAAGTCTTACCACTCCTCTTGCCCGTCCTACATGTGCGCCGTCGGTAGAGGAGGTCAGTTTATCCTTCACGTTTGGAACTTTTTCGTGTAATACCCCGGGGCATCAAGGCTGATCAGGAACTGGTGGAGGATTTTGGTGGATTAGACACACAATCATAATCTTCTACCACTTTAGACCTCTGAAGAAGAGACTTGTTTACAACGTTAGGCCGCCACTAAAAGATCTACTAACCTCGGTTGGCTTACTCACCTACTAACACGTTATACTAACAATGCCGTGGTTCAAAATGATGAAACTTGGAAACTGACCTCCCTATTCTGCTTCACTGTAAATTTCATCTTTTGACAAATGTGGAACTCTTACTTTTGTTTGGAAGAAGTCAGTTAAAACATTTGTTCTATCCTAAGAACTGGCTGTGAGGTACAAAACGGGAAAAGCAGGCTAGAGTTGTATGGTCTAAAAAACTCAATAGCAGAAGACAGAATATATGGAAGTGGGAGAAAACTCCTGGTATCATAAGCATTAATGGTGAAGTGCTAAAGAAGGCAACGTCATACAGGTACCTAGTCAGCGGAGGGAGGTCTACAAGAGGAGGTCGCAGGCAGGATGAACACAGCATGGATGAAATAAAGAGTAGCCTTAAAGGCAGCGTCCAGGCAGATCTGGACCTACGGGGATTTTACGTGGAAAGTACTTTTGGGGCCCTAACTGAGGCACTGATGAAGCGGCAGCGCACGTAGTGCTCTAAAGGCTGAGATATCCCCCTCGAAACCGGACCTCGCGATCGTATTCGCATGGATTCATGGCAGTTTCGCGCCAGGATCCACGCTTTGCGCCATGAATCCATGCGAAATACGATCGCGGGGTCCAGTTTCGAGGGCGATATCTCAGCCGTTAGAGCACTACCTGAGTTGCCAGTTGGGCAGTGACTTAGTTAGGGCCCCAAAATTACTATCCACGTGAGATCCCCATGTGTCCAGACTTGCCTGGACGCTGCCTTTAATAAAGTTTATGAGACAGAAGATTGCTTGTGCAGCTCAAGTCTCAACTGTACCGGACCGTTATCCGCCCAGCAACACTGTATGACAGTGAGTGCTGGCCGCCTTGTACGCGGAACGAGGAGCGCAAGCTCATGTCATGGAAACAAGGATACTACGATGGACCTTAGGAGTCACACTGAAGGATTACATCCGCAATGACACTATACGAGCGCAAATGAGAAGCCCTAATTGCTCAGAAAATGCAGGAAAATAGGTCGATGATATGGACATGTGCGCAAAAGGGATGAAAGTCACATCACAAAGTTACCCCTGGCTGTGGAGGCATTAGGCAAAAGACCCAGAGGTAGATCCAAGATGAGGTGGATGGATACAATCAAGATCGACTTGCGAGAACTTGGTATAGAGACCTTGCCTCAGATAGGATGACATGGAGACATCAGACAAGAAAAGCGGACCCTGCATAAGTGGGACACATGAGAGGATAAAAAAGAACTGATCGTGAGATCTTTTTTAATTTCTAATATTTTTGCTATAAAAATGTAAAACTGCTTTAGTCTTGATCTCTGCGATATGTTGTTGAAACAAGATCATAAATTTGTGTATACTCTACATACAATTCAACTTTAGTCCTCAGAAGTTTTTCTAACTACGTCTCGTGCAGCCTTGCCTCGTCCCTGAAACGCACTTTCAATAAGGTTGCGTGTCCTTACTTTAGACTCGAGGAGTGCAAAGTACTGACATATATAAAAACTATCTGCGTTTTGGTTTTAGAGGAGCACGTCATCCGTGCAATAGTGCATTCGCAACTGACTGCAACTGACTTTTTTACCATCTCTTTCAGGCGTCGATATAGTCATGACGGAAACAACAAAGGCAACGCGTAAAGAAGCTGAGCTATGGATAGAGTAAGTTTTGAAGATATTTTGCTCATTTTAAAGCATATGCAATTTCAGCACTGAGCCTCCTCCTCCTCTCGTTGCTCCTGTGGCTGTTGTAGAAGATGGTTCTGCGCCAGTTGCGGAAAATGTAGAGATTGTGGAACCAGAGGAGGAACCCAATACGATTGTTGAAGTCGTAGATACAGAACAAACAGCTTCCCCACAAGAGATCACATATCCAACTGATGCCGAGCCTGTTCGAGACACTTCTACCGCAGACACATTGCCGGTGGGTGATGGAGTGGAGGATCCGATACACACCGACAAGTTACCTCCTATACAGCCATGATGATATTTATTTTGTTGGGCTGAGGTTTTCGCATTTCGCTCACAATGTGCCAATCTTTGTACACTCATTCATTATAATTGGTGGTTTTGTAGTACCCTTCTTATGGAAAAGCTCTCAGAACAATGACTTCAAGGAAGTCAGTTACCCAAAGATGATGATGAAGCGAAGTGTATTTGTAAGAGACTGCTTTTAGCCCCACGCAGTATTTTTACCACCTCCGACGCAGTCTGTCTATTCTTCATTCTCGGTTGCGAATTCTTGTAAGAATGAGATACGAACTGAGAACCGAAATTCTCTCGCTCTAGCTTACTATGACTTCTGCAAGTCAAATTTACCTAACTGTTGTAAACAAAATCACGCATATCTGTATCTATTGTTTGCCTATGAGGTAAAACCATTTCCGATTTGGCCGTTGTATAAACTTCGAAAAAATCGAAGTTTTTCAACGGATCTTGCTAAAGCAACACAGTACGGAACGAGAATTCTACATAGAAGATCTTTCACAGAAAAATTGAGAATACCTATTATAAGTTTATGTGTTGGGCGTTGGTAAATTGTGGTCTGGAAGTTAGACAATGAAAATCAGGAATTTATTTGAGTCCTTTGCGAGCGACCCTTTTGGTTAGCCATCTTTTCAATTCTTTCATCTTTCTTGTGTATATTTCTTTGCTATTCGTTGTAATTTACTTGTTGCGCATAAGTCTAACTTTTTTCGCGACAATTTCATCTTGGCAAGATTTTGACCATTATTTGCATAAATTATGTCAACGTGGTCCTACCTCTCAATAAAGCTTCTTCACATCATGGTGATAATACGAATTATTGTTTTGAATGTTTTTTAAAATACTTCACGCTCGAGTCCTAGAATATTATTTTATTTTATTCAAACATGTCGGTGATATAAATCTTTATATGGTACACGAATCACTTAGCGTACTGTAGGCATTGGCTGGCGGCAAATGAAATTGTGTAAAGGTATCGACATGAATCCAGCAAATGCTATTCCCAAAGAATTTCCTACATTAGCGACTGCCATACAGTATTCTCGCACATCAGCAGCCACCTGAATACTCAACTCAATGCAAACAGAACGAGTTGGCCCGCAAGTTTTTCCGTAATTTAAACAAAACTTAGTTTCAAAGACCAGACCTAAATTAGTGCATTGTCATCTAAATTATCCGAAGGTTTACGCTGTTTAACAGATACTCTAGCTAACATTTTATAAGTTAGACACCGAGAACAAGCTTTCAAAGATGGCGTTTCAAATTTTGCGATTTTGAGTTTGGTGCTAGAAAATTGCGTAGGGCCGCTAGTCCAAAAATTCTGTGAAAGTTGGATAACAGATACAATGGCTTTCTTGTGCCGTAAGTTTTTTATATGATGACACACTTTATTTCCCTTACGTTTCGGTAACACGACGTTGTCGAAGGCTCAAATGTAATCAATCACGACCTACGTTCCCTTCGGCAACTACCGCCTCCCACTTGCTCACTCAATTCACTTTTTGTGGGAGTAGAAAGCTTAGAAGGTGTAGTTCACTCACTAGGATTTCACCAATGTAGCAGCCTCTGCTGAGGACTTGATTGACTGCAAGTCGCGAATGAGCAGTGCTTATAAGAGCAAGTATGAAGGAGGCCTCTAAGTTTTTCGCGCTAAGGGAGCCTCCAGACCGCGCCGGGGCCGCGCCGGTTGTCGCTTTTGCAGCCGGTAGCTGCTTTCGCGCCGGTTGCGCTATTGCAGCTGAAGCGCATTGTGTCAAATTTTGCCTTTGGAGCGTAGCGAGAGCCTGTTGGCACTAGATGCTAGGCTTTACAACTTCTTGTCATCATTCTTTTGTTCTCAAAGTTCTCTTCTTTGCTGTAGTAATTCTTTGCAAAGATGGTTCATGATCTGGATTTCGTTTTTTCGGTCGTCTACGATGCTGGGACAATCAATTCGTTGTCGAGGGAAACCCTTTTAGTCTAAATCCCGCTGTAGAGCTATTGCAAGGCAAGGCCTTTTCGACGTCTTTCTCGTTTTGCTGGTTTACACTGTGCTGGATGCGCGAGTTGCGAATGTACTTTCTTTGTTTTTGAAGCTGTTCCATCATGCCGTAGGAGCGATTTAGCTGCAGAATTCAAATTCTCTGTACTATTTTTGCTTTCGGTACTTCACTACGCTGACCAACGATCTATTCCTAAGTGGAGTCATTTGGTGCCTTCTCCTTCTCCATTCAAGGTATATAATGTTTACTTCTCTCTCTTGTTTATTTATATAATGTATAGCTTAGAAAATAGCTAACCTTGAGTAGCTAAACGAAATAGATCAGTAAGTGTACCTTCAAGAGTATAGCAGAGTAGCTTTAAACTTAGAAAGTGCGAAAAACTTTGCGACGATATCGTCCACTCAGCATAGTAGACCAACCTCAAATCGGAAAAGACTTCGAAAAACCTTGCCTGCGCAACCATACAGCAGAGCAGTATCATCAAAACGAAAACTGTGCAAAAAAACAGCGTTCCGCAAAGATTTATGAGCTCTCAGATTTGTGTGGAGGCGGGTTGCTGGCTCCCTAATTTTTATGATAAAGTTAACGAGAGAGTGCGAAAAACAATGCTGCATGAAGTTCTAACAAATTCACACTTACACTCAGGAAAGTCCTCAACCCGATGACTCCTTGATAGAAGTAGCATAGTTTCAAAACTAAAGACAAATTTGAAGAAACTTTGCTTTCTACAAAACCGATCAACTACCGTAAAAGAATAGCCTGTAAATGAATGAAAGACAAAACGCCGTCCATCACTTTTTTTGCCTAAAGAAAGAGCTCTACAGCGGGAGGTAGATTGAATATTTGACAATGATTCCAATACTACAGTATCGTAGAACCTGCAATGAATAACTTACGGAAAGAAGAGGACCTTGGAAACAAAAGAGTAGTGGCAAAAGAATCGAAAAGCCTAGTATTTGGTGCCAATATGCTCTCGCGAAGCTCCAAGCACAAAATCCGACACGGTGCGCTTCAGCTGCAATAGCGGCTACCGGCGCGAAAGCAGCTACTGGCTGCAAAAGCGGCAACCGGCGCGGTCTGGAGGCTCCTTAATATCTGAGGCTCGTTACATCGACGACTGCTGTATTGTTACATCAACGCAGTCCGAGATGAACGAATATTTCAGAATGCTTAATGTGCAGTCGCAATACATCATCCTAAAAGGGAGAAACCACAGAATGGTTGACTGGACTTTTTGAACACGTAGTTGGTGCTGGTGAATGGCGCATTGAACATTAAGTGTACAGCAAGGAGAATAGCAAAAATATCATTTTACACGCACATTCAACAATCCAGCCGCTGTCAAACGCGCCGTATTTCGAAACATGTTCAAAACGGCAACGAACATCTGCAGCGGTGAGAGCGAAACGTTAGAGTAGCTGAAATTGGCAACCGTAATCATGGAATCAAATAAATATGAGGCGCGACCTATACGAACAAAAAGAATGTCAGCGAAGGCCAGCAAGCAGAGCACCTCTGTACTTGCCTTTTACTTCTGAGAGGGTTACTACCGCTATAAGACAAAGCCCAACACAAGCGCAGCTCAACGATGATGTTATCTTAGTTGACATTCCGCGAGATAACATCAAAAAACAACTAATCCACAACAGGCTTCATGATACAACTTGTAACTAGCGAGACTGCGTAGTTTGCCCTTATGGAAATTCCGGAGTTTGCGCGAAATCTGGTGTCGACCAACTCAAATGTATGAATTGCTCACCATCTGTACTGGTGAGACTGATTGCCCGTTGGGCGTACGTGTAATTGGACACTTAGCTAGCAAGAAACGGCAACGCCCTAATGTCCGTAAGGAAAGCACCGAAAAGAAGAGCATAATGGGATGGATTGCGACATAAAATGCAAATTTATAGCTCACGAGCCTTAGATATCAGCGCAAAAGCATTAGAGGCCTTTTGCATATCTCCTCGTGATCCAAAACTTATTAGCAAGAATGAAAAGTTATGTATTACAAGTATTTTGGCGCCATCTCTGTCTTTTGTAATCCATAGATTCATCTATATAAGCAGTCTCATAGTATAAACGGCTCATTCGCGACTTGCAGTCAATCGAGCAAGTCCTTAGCAGCCACACTGCCACATCGGTGACATCCAAGTGAGTGAACCACATCTTCCAAGCTTTCTACTTACACAAAGAACGAATTAAATAAGCAAGTGGAAGACGGTGTTTGCCGAAGGGAACGTAGACCAAAGTGACTGATTACATTTAGGCATTCGACAACGTGGGAGGGTTCAATGTGTGGTAACATTGTAAAAAAAAAGTTATTTTACAGAAGAACCTTGTTATCACAACACTTTTTTGGTTGAACCCTTTTTGATGATTTGAAAAAAGCCCAGTGTTTAAATAAAAACTAGATCTGAATTCTGGCCCCAAACTGTTTTTTTGCGAAAGAAGCGCGGAGTTAGGAAAATTTTCCTTATAAAATTACATTTTTCAAGTTTTTTTGTTTATGCATTTCCATGCAAGACGTGAAGCCTCCCACAATAGAATATGGACTTTTAGTATGTGAAAAATTTTTACCGATACCTTTGGGCTGGCTAGCGGCCCTCCGCAATTTTCTAGCACCAAACTCAAAATCGCAACTTCGTCCTCGTTGACTAACTCATGAAATGTTATGCTTGAATGCCTAGTATAAGCGCAAATTTTCTACTATTTTTATTATACAGACTCGCTGATTTAGGTCTGGTCTTTAAAAGCTTTTGAGTTTCGTTTGAATTAGCAAGAACTTTCAGGTTTACCTAATATATTTCACTAATTAACTTGCCGTCTTGTGTATTACGTTGAAAGTATTAACGTAAGATGAGCCTCCTAACAGTCCCTCAATGACTATGAGAGCAAACATTATTCCTATGCTCGGTACGAACCAGTATATGGCTTGGAATAGGAAGAACACAAAGTTACAGGTCTATAAAAAGAAAATTCGGCCATAAATATTGAGAGTGTTGAACGCACCTGGAAGACAGGAAGCAAATAAATCAACCAAACTGGCAGTTCTAAAATTTTGATCGAGGAACGTGAAATGAACACGCCAAGTTGGTAAAGCACCTGCAAATTAACGAGTTATGGTGCTTTTCTTTCTCACATCCTTACTTTGTTCTTTAGCTTTTGACCGTCCACGAATCTAAAAGAGTTTTGCCATATTAGTGCAGTTTCTAGCCGTCCATAGTTTAGCACAGCAGCAGTAGAGCTGTTCCCCACAATGGTGCCTCAAAGTGGCATGGAGGTGACAGTGGGTATCGAACTGCGATGCACAGCCGAGTGTACACTCGAGCAAGGCCTCCCAAGCTGTGAAGGAATTCGACGTTTCCGGTTTCGGCTGGATGCCTAGTTAAGAGCCGGCCAGGCCAGATCCCCTGCCGTCTGGCTTTGTGGTCCATAGGCGGTCCTCCCCGCTCCACATCCGGGTCAGCGATCGCCCCGTGGAAATCAAGAGTTAGCCTAGTAAGTTTGCTCTTGTAGGGGAAACATTTTTACTCGATCGGTAAAAAGAAAAGAGATACACACTCATCGTACTCCTCCTACGGTACCGGGTGGTAGCAGAAACGATGTCAGGGTACTTAGGGCGCCTTTCGGATCGGACGAAACAACAAGTCTGCGCGAACGATACGCCGTGGAGATTGCCTCATGCTCTGCACCTATAAGAGAGAGACAGTCTCCACAAGCTGACCTTCACGCTCTTCTCGACGCTGCACATCGAGTACCACATTATCGCTCTGCAGGAAACGAAGTTCAGGAAGAAAGACGTGCGACAGATGAGTAATGGAGCCTCATCACTTGTATTGAAAAGGTTCCACCGCAAAACGTTGGAGCCGTTAGTTTTGTCGTCCACCCATCTATCGTCCATTTTGTCGATTCGAGAGATCCTATCACCTCGACTAGCCATCCTACGACTAAGACCTCCACGTCAGAAGACCATCAGCATCATCAACTGCTTTCACCAACATCAGCAGCTGACGATTCAGCACTAGATGCTTTCTACGAAGACATGGAGGAGGTCAACCGCAACGAGAAGTCCTTTTACAAGTTTGTTGTGGGCGACTTAATGAGAAAATCGGGATGTCACTAGAAAAGAAATATAGGATCGGGAAGTTTGGATATGGGCTCCGGAACAAAAACGGCAACCGTCTTGTTGGGCTTCTCCCCGCCGCATTAGTTTTCCATGAAGAATCCATCTTCATGAAGAAGGAAAATCGCCGGTGGACATGGGAAACGCCCAACGGAACAACTCATGCGGAAATCGACCATATTCTCACCAACCGGAGGTGGAGCTTGCTCGATGTCTCAGTAGTTCCACCCTTCTGCAGTGGCTCCGATCACCGCCTCTTTCAAGCGAAGATAAGATTCAGTGGAAAGCTGAAAAAGAAAGTCTGCCACAGATTAGCAAAAAGGAAGAAGTTGTTAACGACGGTCATAGGCTGGAGGAGCTCACATTAACGCATTGACGACCAATGCGTTTCACGGACCAGTCAACGTTTTTTGGTTATAATCACGCACAGTTCCATCTACAGTACGCCTACAGTAACGCTGGAATGCTGGCAAAACCAGTGGAGGTTGTATCTAATCCAACACAAAAGAAAATTCCCGGAGTGGGTTCGACTCAAAATAGTAGCCATTTCTACGACACACATGGTGTGTCAAGCCTTGACAAACCATGTGTGTCAAGCGGTCTTCAATGTGTTAAATTGTGACTGGCCCATCGAGGAGGACCCAACGTACGACTACGACCGGCTTCTAGAAGGATTGCGAGCCTGCAGAGAGTGAGCATCACTGACTTCCGAGAAGAACTTGGAACGCATTTTGAATATCAACAAGGAGGTTGCTCTAAAGAAGAAGATTTCTGAGGCAGAATCCGAATACAACCCATCTCGAGCGGCTGATAGCCAACGCCAGCTGCAGAACAGCTTTGCAGGAGGGTCTCGAGAAGTACAGGCAAGCCAAGATACTGGAAGCAGCCGGATAAATGACGAAGTCTCAAAAAGTGCCGAAGGGACCTCTTTAGATATCGTACCGCTGGCTACACTATTGAACGGAGACGGGACTCCGACTTCTTCCCGATATAAGATGGAATCTATCGCGGAGATCTTTTACACCAACTCTTCCGTTCATCAACACCCGTGCCGGTGCCCGTTCTCACGGAAAAGTATCATCACGAATTGTACTTTCTGAAGTGCGCACGGCGATTCAGACCATAGAGACGTCCACGGCTCCAGGACCAGACCAACGTTCCGTCGAATGTCTGCGAGCCGGAGGACACCATCTTCACTAGATTGCGTCGATTTAACACTTTACCTTCAGAACGAGAAGATCCCCGAATGGAGAACGTCAAAAACCGTCCTTCTCTTCAATACAAGCGAACAGATCTTCGGGACTACCGTTCGATATGCTTCCTGAGTGTGCTGTACAATCTTTTCACAAAGATTATCCTCGCTCGCATATCTAAAACGCTGGATGAACTCCAACTCCAAAAACAAGCTGGAATTTGCAAGGTACTTAACTTCATGGACCACATCCAAAGGATTTCGAGGGTCATAGAAGTCTGCCATAAATACCGGCTGCCTCTCGTCCTGACCTTCGTCGACTACGAGAAAGCCTTCGAAACGAACGCCATTTTTCAGCTCTAGTCGATCAAGAAGCGGACCCAGCTCACGTGAGGACACTAGCCGACTGCTACAAGGACTACAACAAAAATGCAGCTATTTCATCGCCCCCCTATCCCAAGTGGAAAGGGGTTCGACAAGGCGACATGCTTCGCCGAAGCTGTTTTCCGCGGCCTTGCTTGAGTAATGAAGTCTAACCCGGACGAGAGAGGCATAAGAGTCGATGAAAGATTCTTATCAAACCTTCGTTTTGCGGGCTTTCTCTATTTGAGAGTATTACGAAGCAGAGACGATGCTGAAGAATTTAAACGAGTTAGGGAAGAAGATGTTATTACGAATAAGTCGGAAGAAGACTTAGTTCATGAAGAACATCCTTACGAAGATGCGAAAATGGAAGTGGAAGGCGCTCTATTATGGAGACGTCTTCCTACGTTTGATGAACTTGGAAAACAACTTGAAGGACGAACTCAACAGGAGGAAAAGGGCAACCTGTGCCGCCCTCATTCCTCTGCAGAAAGCCACCCAAGCGACGGACTCGGAACTTCTGCCCACCTGGTCGACTCAACCGTTCTCCCGGTGCTCTATGATGCAGCTGAGACTTGGGCCGACACTGTAGCCTGTAGCCACGTCGAAAGTTTTAAGGATCACCCACAGAGCGCTAGAGCGTAGTCTTTTAAAGATGACCTGACCCGAGCAACATCTAGTCGGACTTCGCAGTACGATTTAAGAGGAATGTCCCGTCTTTGTGACCTGGCGGAATATGTTGCGAAAGCGAAACACTACTGGGCCGGTCACATCACGAGAAGAACAGACGACAGATGGACATTGAGAACATCTGAGCGGATTTCTCGCAAAGTCAAACACCCCGAGGAAGGCTAGCAACGAGATGGGCAGACGTGTTCGTGAAACAGTTGGACCAGCGAACAAATTAGCTGGATATGATCATCGCACCTGGGATTTGTGGACGCAGCCACCGACGGCAACCAAGAAGATTATGGATGTCTGAAGCGACTGACAGGGAGAAATGGAAGTTTCTTGGCCCGCACGCCACGTGGAGACGGGCCATCTAAGTATCTAAGTAAGTAAGTAAGTAAGTAGTAGAGCTGCTCAAAATACAGTTGTCTGTGTGACTCGTTGTCCATTTTCATTTCACATTAAAACTTGCTTTCTTGCTTTGTGGGAGAACCGTTTTTGCAGGAAATATTAGATTGGCTAAAAAATGAGCTCGATCTCAAACGGTGCGCTGAAGGTTTATGATTTGATTGATATATGAGTGCATCGTACCGATGGAAAATCAAATCAAGGAGAATCATGGCCAACTGTGTTCTTCCGAAAGTTACCTTTTTGGTGACGAAATGGTGCAAAAAAGAAAAATAGTTTTTTTTCATTAAATTTTCGAAAAGTTATACACTAAAAAACGAAACGAACTCATGTGTACGATTGCAGTTGACTCCCAGACCATTTACATGGTCATAGATGGTCAAATTCAGGGGATATGGTTTAGCTAAGAACTGACATACACGAGCAGATACCTAAATTTCGCATTTTAGCAGCAGAGTCCACACAACAGTTCACTATTTCTACTGTGATTCACCATGTAGCCAATGGTAATGTGTATCTAGTCATCGAATAAATCTTCTGTGCACTCCTAAAGGCTGAGAACGAAGCTTAGAAAGTCAAAAAAGCGATTTTTTTAGTAGGAAGTTAACCATATAAGGGTATACTTGTCATTTAACAATGACGGAATTGGATATCTGAAACTAAGAGTAGAGGCTTGAAGCTGTCTCCTCACAAAACAATCAAGGAAATGTCCAGAATGCAAAGTGGTCAATCCAAACAGGAGCCACTGTAAATCGCAGTAAATTCGTCTATAAAAAGTGCGAATTCGGCCGTGCGACGAAATGAACGGATTGATGCTGGACCAAAACATGCACCTAGGTCACTTTATGCTACTACTCCGTACCTAAATATGAGCTAAAAAGGCAATAATGTGCCTATTTTGTCTGTGTGTGAGATTTTATGTGAAATTCTCTTGTGATAAAAGTGTTCATATCTAACATGAAACGCTGTCCCGAATCTTCCTCTCTTATCTGCTACGGCTTCCCAGTGAGGAGTTACGAGGATTTACAAGCAGAAAAATTTAACAAGCATCGCTATCAAGATTTGTCAAAATTTTCGTAGCTTTAGTGAGGTAGCCATAGGTGAGAACAAACATAAATTGTAAATATTTTCTCACATGGAATACTTTGACAATCACCATTGCTTCATCTAAGCGCTGAGAAGACAACGCGACAAACTTCAACCTAGCCACTTCATTTTTGCTATGATAAATCCATTTGACTGCTTTGCCACAAACCCGCAGCGACAAGAAAGGCAGATTTGGAATCAGCGTTCCATGCCCTTCGAGGCAATATAAGGCTTCTATCTAAGTTTTTCATATATTAGGTT